TTTTCAGATGACTACGTGTGTCATGAGTGGGACATCAACCACAAACGACACACTAATGAGACAGCACACAAATGTCTTCGACAGGCTTTTCCTACCTCTCACAATCGAGATTGTCGGCTTGAGGAAAAGCTCTGAGTCATATTTGTGTTTACTTTACCCAGCAGTTAGCACTTTGCTGCCACCTGTTTATCCACCCATCCATTTGTGCCAGCAGATAAGTGGAGTTCTGCCCTCCTGCGCTCCCAAGAGACTTTGCTAGTGTCCAGGCTTGGTTTTGTTTCACTGGGGAGGAGCCACAGAGCCATGGGCACATATTAAAATGCACACATACTGTATCCCCCCAAAAAAACACACACTCTGCCACATGCTGATATTGGATGGTGCTCTCATTAAGACACTTGGGCAAAGTGGACATTGAGGGGAGTTTGAGTGGGAGGGCTTGCTGCGCTCTGAGGTAGACACTAATTGACGTTCAGGATGAAAGATTCACACACATATGCTGTATATAGATTTTTATAAAAATCAATCATCAATACAATTTTGACATGTCTCTACAGTTTCTGTGTTTTAATTGTGTGCGTATGAAGATGCAGTGACTGTATCTTAAACCAGTGTGAGGTAGAAACTTGATACCTCGACTTAATAAAGTTACAGATGCCTGTTTTTGTTGCAGCCTTAAAAATACATGTACTACCACTATGATGTATTCCTCCGTAACATTAAACTCATTTTTCACCTTAACAAAGCTTCATCATGTCATGTTCTAGAGGCAAACCATAAAACTGGTTGTAGTAAAAAGAGCCTGTCTGATTCAGTCAATTTATTTGGAGTAGCTGGCCTGTAAAGAAGTGAATTGTGTTGAACCTTGTTGAAAAGTGTTGAACATTGCAGTGAGGTCGAGAATGATAAAGATATTGAGGATATCATTCGACACAAAGCAAGACACCAGAAATGAAGCTGTCACTCTATTTTATCTTGACACACTCTTCTGCCTGCAAAGCTGCTAAAACCCAACCCTGAAATCTGCCAACTTCCCAGACTTAAAGTACCTTATCAGGTCTTTTTTTCTAGCCTTATTCTTGTTTCAATGCCATTCTTTCCCAACAATATTCTCTGATTTTGTACATCCCTCCATCTTTAAATATTTCTCCTCACATTTGATGACAAAACGTCCCAGACTCACTCAGTTGTAGAGGTGGCAGTTCTGTCCCTAAACCCAAATGCACAAGTAAACTATGTACTAATAATGTGAACTTTGTTTTAATGTAGCATCTTGGACATGCTGTAGAGCCAGTTTCATCCGTCAGGCATACTTTATTCCTCTAATCTGAGAGTCTCTCTTTCTCCCACTCCATAATGCCCCTAGCCTTAGCAGCTCAGACTTGAGTGCAGGACTGCCAAATATTTTGCAAACACATTGTAATTAGTGTCACATGCTTCTATTCACCCTAAACTGCTTACAGATGAAGTTCAATCACTTGGCTTTATAGGTTTCTTAGAAACACCTTAAATATCTGCAAAAAGTTTGATCTCTGTGGGGTTTCTTCACTAACAAGCTGTGGTAAGTACTTTAAGAAGCAGCCACTTGAAAAGTGCTTTTGTGTGTGTGTGATTGTGGTGTTTGTATCTTTCTAACTTGCCCCCTTCACCCTTTCCCTCCACCTTTCTCCTCTCACAGATGTGCATGACTGCCAATCTAATCCATGCCAGAATGAAGGATTCAGCAGATCATCTCCTTTGTGTCTTTTTCTGCCTAGTAACAGAGAGGCTGGTCACTTTGTGAATTTGTGTCTTAGGGATGAGGATTTAAAAAAAAGAGCAAAGGGGGAAGGGATGTTGTGAGGAGGATGATGGAAGAGGAGTAAGCTAACGGAGACAGAAGAGATAGGATGAGGGTAAGAATCCGAACAAAGAGGTACAGGAGGATGAGGAGGGGGAGGAAGAAGGAAGTCCTTTGGAATAATGTATGAGGTTCAGACAGAACACCTGCGTCCAGCTGGTTTTGTGTCTCATTAGGGGAATTCCCCTGTGAGGAGCGAACCATGAGGGATACTGTTCACAAACTGCATGTTACACGGAAACAAGGCTGATATGTACAAAACAGCTCAGAGGAAAACCAACACACTCCTGTGCTGATCTTTTTTGGCTAAATGTGATGAGGAAAAAGACTATTTTTATCACACACACGCAGACAAACACACACCTCTTTCATGCTGTGTTTGTTGGTATTGGTGTTTGTGCTGTATCCTGCTGCATTGCTGCCTTTATGGCTGATTGGGAGCAGCAGGTCTAATTGTGTAAATGTGAAGTTTTCTTGATTCATTTATCTCTCACTGCTTTGTGTGTTAAAAGATTAACTTTGACAGTGAAAATTACAAATCACAACAGCTGTCTCTCTGCCATTTCAGTGTAATCTCAGTTTGATAACCAGAGGGAAATTTAAACTAAGACGCGTATGATCAAATGTAACTCATTTGTCCCACTGAGGCTTCCATCCATTTAAAGGTCACCTAACCACTCATTCTCTCTACAACAGTCCAGCTCTGTCCGTCTCGTTTGCTCTGTCAGTGAATGTGCCAGTATGTGTTTAGGTGTGGTGTAATGAACTAACATGTGATGCTGGGTCCAGTCTTCTGCTGGCTGTTACCATGGCGACCTCATCTGTAAGTAAATAAGACTGAGTTGACAAAGATGAGGTTCTCTAGTGAATGCAATAGGACAGAAAAGAAAAGACCTTTTCTCACAGTTAGTCTGTTTTAATAAGAAACTGTGAAAAACACCTTTTTTTCTTCTCATTATTTCGTCCTGAAGTCTGTCTTTAAACCATAAGGCATAAGCGACATAAGTGGTTGCTAAGGGGCCCTGCTGTGTCCAGGAAGGCCCTGAGAGCTGCTTCAGCCTACTCCCACTGCCTCTTAAGTGTCACATTTGTATGCAATACATTAAAATGCATGTAAACAAGATTGAGATCAACTGGAAGGATATGCTGCTGTCGCTATCTTTAACCTTTCACTCCTGGCCCTGTCCACCACTCACAGAAGTCTATCCCTCAAACTTAGAGTTGATATTTGCAGTAAGGTCATGTCACTTTCCTCTCACTAGGATCAGTAAAGAAAAGAAATGTGCATATATGGATAAATCATTCAGGTACAGGAGCGGACAGTGTAATGAGAAGACGAGAGGAAAACAGAAATAAATAGGTATGTGATTGAATATAAGTATCAATACAGTCTACATATTATATACATATAATATACAACAGTGAAAAAGAAATTTTTTACAAGGTCAGCCATGAGGGCTTGTGAGCCAGCTTGCTGTTAGACATAACATTCAATGGATTTAAACTGCTGGACCTATTTATCCAAGTTTACTTCCTCTTATGCTATGCTTGCTAGGCTATTGTAAGCCAACAATTGCTAACTTCCTCATTAGCACAGCAAGGTTAGCTGTCATTAGCTGTCCTCTAACAAGCTAAATAGAGAAATATTGATTATTTATTTGATTTTTTTTTCCCCAAATGAAATGTGCTCAGGGCTCCTTATAGGCTTGGGCCAGTCCTACTTTAGGCCTATCATTACATTGGTTTTTGTTTTTCTCCTTTTGAGTGTTTAAAACTCAATTAATCAATCAAACTTTATTTATGAGGCACTGTGCTGTCCATTCAAGAACACAAGCAAATGGGTGTCAGGGGATACAAAAGAAAGTACAAAACCCAACCCACATTAAACACACACAGCACTTACAGAGGCACACACAAGAAACTAAGTGAGGACTCTCCAAACTGCCACAAATGACTGAGGAAACACTAACTAGAATTACTGTGGCGAGGTTGTGTTTCATTTTTGCCCTCTCCCTTCCTCCTTCCCTGCTGTCTCTTCCTGCTCTTCTCACATCCTTGCCCTCTCATCTCTGCAGCTCTGTAGGAGGTTTCTTCACACGTTGAGTGTGTTTTTGAGTGTATCTTATGTGTGTGCACTGACAGCATCTGCTGTTTTGAAGTAACTGTGTTTAAGGATCTTTGTGTGATAAAATATTTCTCAAATTTCTCAGCTGTTAAGATCTACCTTGTTCAGCTAACATAACCATACACAGACAAATGTATCGATCTAGTATTTTTACATGAGGTCTCACATTGATTTGGTGCATTAATTAGCCTCTAACTTAAGCCATCGGTAGTTTCCAACAATTTAAACAATACATTCAGCCTGAAATCCAGCTCTGTTCACTGCATGGAGATTTCCCTGAACAGATTCTCTTCGAAAAGGTAAGAAAAAAACTGTAGTGCCCCATGCAAATTTTACACATAGGAGAGAATGGGGTAAGTTGAGGCAAAGGGTAAGTTGAGCCACCCCCTGTTGCTTGGAAATGGTAAAAGAAATTGATCATGTGAGCAAATATTTAGGAGATGGGCATCAATTCATGGAGTCTGTGAAGGTTAGAAGCACATGGGTGAAGGGGTTAGACATTCATTTACAAAAAAATGTTTCTCACTCTTGGAAGTGAATTTAGTCTGTCATAAGTTTGATTAGAATTGAGTTCAGACCAAAATAGATGATTTTAAATTTGTTTTACACACCAACTGTGGTATCTATGAGCTACAACATGAGGTCAAAAACCTAGCATAAAAGTCCACCATTTTAGTTTGGAGGACTAATAAAGTCATAATAGTAGTTCTGGGGTAAGTTGAGCCAACTGAGAAAGTAAAGGAGTCTGATGAGAGGTGCTATATTATCAAGACAGTTATATTTACACTCATTCTGTTGGTTTGCAGGGATGCACAATATCCAGAAATATAAGCAGAAACACTAATTAGAGACAAAACTATGATTGTCTTGATGTAGTGATCTGAAATATGAAAAATGGCTCATCTTACCCCACTCTCCCCTATTCATCACCGCACCATTTCCTTTATTCATTGATTAATTCTATCACACCTGCTCTGTTTCCACACCCACGAACTCCAAATCCACCAATCATATTACGCAACCCGGTCGGTTTGAATTCTAAACCCCGGAAATGTTTGTAGCTGTGAGAAAAAGAGAGCAGATAGTGGATGAGATGGAGAGAGGAGAGAAAAACGAACCTCACACGCGGGCTTCTTTTAGCCACGGAAGCCGGTTTAAGTCCGTTCTAGTCGCGTTGCCGGAGTCCTTGGTTCGGTTTGTAAACCGGAATGATCCGTGGATCGGTGGAGTTCACACGGCCGGCATCCGAAATCCGTGCTGGAGTTTGGAGCTGCCTCCTGGAATAATTAACCCCAATTTACTGACCGACTGACGACGGGTTTGTGAGTACTGACAACAGTCAGTTTGTTTTTCAGTGGGATTTGGGTTAATATAGTGAGCAAAGGACTCCTGTTGATTTGTGTTGAACTGTGGATGTGGGACTGATGCATTAAGCAGACTTTTTTTTTTTTTTTTTTTTGCTTATGAAGTGTATCTATGTATCACTATCCTGCGGTCTTTACTGAAATTGGTTTAACTAGAGAAGCAAGCGGTTGGCAACATTAATCTCTCGACAGGGTGTCTAACTCGATGTTACAGTGTGTTTGACCCTGAATTAATTTTATGCCGGAATACACCTTTTTAAAAATTTAACTATACACAACCTTGTGGCTTGCCCAAAGTCAGAAGATTTTTGTTTTTATTTCCTTAAGCAGCATCTTGTGTGGTCATCAAACAAACAAACAGTCAAAAAATGAATAATTTGCTCATTTATCCCAAAGTGTTTGCTTATGTTTGGTTTTCTATAGGGAATGTATTGCTTTTATTACACAAGCACAGCTATCATTTCATCCATATCCTCTTTCACCCATTGTTGCCCTTTTGATATTTGTTCCCTTTTCATTTGAGTTTTGGTTTCTTGAAAAAAAAAAAGTGTTGCTTCCTCCCAGCAGGCTGCAGAGTTGTGACAGCCAAGTCTGAGTGGCACTCCTGGTTTTGGCAGCAGCTAACACACAAGAGGCTGTGTTGATGAGTTTAGACTGGGGGGGTCATGTCAAAGTCAAAGCCTAGTTCTAAGCAAAGAGAGTTCACCCATTTTGAGATGTGATGAATTATTACACTCACATGCACAGATACAAAGTCATGAGTTTGGTTTGGCAATAAAATAAAAACTAGACAGTGTAACAGAAACTTAGAGAAGAGTAGAGTGAAACTTTACTCAAAGAGGACAGCAGGTGGATCAACAACAAACAGGTGTAAAGGTCCTTACACACCGGGCGAGAATTCGCCAGGCGAATTATTCGCCTTTTTTTAAAACAGCATAAAGTCAATGCAAGCTTCCACACCGGCTGCGATTTTTCCGCGGGGCGAAAAGCCGCTTTTATTTTTTCGCTCCTGTGTCGAATTTTTCGGATATTTGCAGGCGAATATCTGAACCTGCTCGACCTCTGGCCAATCAAAAGTCATGTTGTTGATGACATCACAGACCCATACGGCTGGAGGAGAGGGAGAAGTTTGAGATTATGAAAACGCAGACAAAGACAGCTGAGGTGCATCCAAAACTCTTTCGAATTACTAATGAAGTAGTTTTCTCACAAGATGACACTCTCTTGTCTTCCTTAGGAGACAGGTGTCATGCACACTTCACAGGGTGACCGCCTGCGACTTTATTAATTCGCTTTGCAAAAAATATACGCATATTCGCTTTGCGGCCGGTGTGTATATGCGAAAGCGATTTTTCGGACCGGCGAATATTCGCAATTTTCGTCTCGCTTTTTCGCTTCACTCCGCAAATTCGCCGGTGTGTAAGGACCTTTAGACTTGAAGGGCCTTGACACCACCAGAGCGTTGGATTTGAGGCAGCAGTGGCTGTAATGAAGCTGAGACAATGAGACCAATGAGCAGACTGAGCTGACCAGCTGCAGAGGAAAAAGCTGCAGGAGGAAATAAGCACAGGCCCAGTGTCACTTCTTCACTTCAGTCTAACTTACACATCTTTATCTTCTACCTTTCTTTTCACGTTGTTGTGCTCTTAGTGAAGTCATACAGGTGAATTAATGATGCGCTCATAACCATAAATATTCATGATTTCTGAAAAACTTGCCAGAAAGGGAGCAAAACACTTCACATGCACCATTCCCACAATCACATTTAAGATATATATCCTCCTAATTTAGCACTCAATTTATGCTGCAAGACTTGTGATCTCTGCCTCTACTTTGCTATTACCACCATGCTGCTGCTGTTAAAAGCATAATCACACCAGCTCATTCACTGCAATGTTCCCTCTTAGTGGGAGATAAGGTATCAACAAGCATTTGGTAAAAGTGAATCTGACTGACTGTGAACAGCTAGGATTAGTTCAGCCCTGATGTCCAACCATGTGCATTACCCCACAAAAGCTTGGTTCCCTACTGGAGCCTGCAGCCAAATGTCAAGCCATGAAAAGCATCCAAGTAAATAAGATAACTTCTATTCTCTTTGGGTTTTAAATTTCAGTCCCAGTCTTGTACCCAGTGTTGGTCAAGTTAACATTTAGTGATTTCTTCTCCAAGAAAGTAATCCTGTTACTTTACTAATCATTCAATGTCAAAAGTAATTAGTTACTCTACTAATTACTTTACTTAGTTATTTTTCAAAAACAATGATGCACAACCTGAACTCCTAGACCTTTTAACCTAATTCTATTCTATGGAATATTTTGCATATTCCATCATATAAAATTGTATCAAATTAAAAGTCACTTTTTCAAAACTTGTTTTATTAGTTTCTATTTTTTAACTGTATGCACATCGTATCGAACAGTCTCTAATTTGAAGAAAATTGTTTAACATTTTAACCCTCTTTCAACTCCTGTGCACTGACAGCAACTCCTTCTTCTGTTAACTTATACACTCACCGGCCACTTTATTAGGTACACCATGCTAGTAACGGGTTGGACCCCCTTTTGCCTTCAGAACTGCCTCAATTCTTCGTGGCATAGATTCAACAAGGTGCTGGAAGCATTCCTCAGAGAGCTTGGTCCATATTGACATGATGGCATCACACAGTTGCCGCAGATTTGTCGGCTGCACATCCATGATGCGAATCTCCCGTTCCACCACATCCCAAAGATGCTCTATTGGATTGAGATCTGGTGACTGTGGAGGCCATTTGAGTACAGTGAACTCATTGTCATGTTCAAGAAACCAGTCTGAGATGATTCCAGCTTTATGACATGGCGCATTATCCTGCTGAAAGTAGCCATCAGAAGTTGGGTACATTGTGGTCATAAAGGGATGGACATGGTCAGCAACAATACTCAGGTAGGCTGTGGCGATGCAACGATGCTCAATTGGTACCAAGGGGCCCAAAGAGTGCCAAGAAAATATTCCCCACACCATGACACCACCAGCCTGAACCGTTGATACAAGGCAGGATGGATCCATGCTTTCATGTTGTTGACGCCAAATTCTGACCCTACCATCCGAATGTCGCAGCAGAAATCGAGACTCATCAGACCAGGCAACGTTTTTCCAATCTTCTATTGTCCAATTTCGATGAGCTTGTGCAAATTGTAGCCTCAGTTTCCTGTTCTTAGCTGAAAGAAGTGGCACCCGGCGTGGTCTTCTGCTGCTGTAGCCCATCTGCCTCAAAGTTCAACGTACTGTGCGTTCAGAGATGCTCTTCTGCCTACCTTGGTTGTAACGGGTGGTTATTTGAGTCACTGTTGCCTTTCTATCAGCTCGAACCAGTCTGGCCATTCTCCTCTGACCTCTGGCATCAACAAGGCATTTCCGCCCACAGAACTGCCGCTCACTGGATATTTTTTCTTTTTCGGACCATTCTCTGTAAACCCTAGAGATGGTTGTGCGTGAAAATCCCAGTAGATCAGCAGTTTCTGAAATACTCAGACCAGCCCTTCTGGCACCAACAACCATGCCATGTTCAAAGTCACTCAAATCACCTTTCTTCCCCATACTGATGCTCGGTTTGAACTGCAGGAGATTGTCTTGACCATGTCTACATGCCTAAATGCACTAAGTTGCCGCCATGTGATTGGCTGATTAGAAATTAAGTGTTAACGAGCAGTTGGACAGGTGTACCTAATAAAGTGGCCGGTGAGTGTATTTCCCTATTCAGCGGCAATAAGTATTTTCACTTATTTAGCAGGAGAGTGCCTGTGTCAGTCATGTCAGTAGGGGGATCAAATTCCTGTGCTAGCTTGCTGGGTGCTTGCTCAGATTCGAGGTAAATTTTATGCAGAGTGAACAGCGACAGTCTCACAAAACGCAATCACGGTTTAGTAACGCAGCCTGTTTGTGGGAAAGTAACAGTAATCTAATTGCTGTTTTTACAATTGTAATCCCTTACTTTACTCATTACTTGAAAAAAGTAACCGGATTACAGTAACACGTTATGCGTTACTGCCCATCAGTGCTTGTACCTGATCATCACACTGCAAAACAAGTTGATCTCATGCAAAACAATCATGTTCTCCAGTGCGTGTACTTTATATTGTCTGTATGATTGCAGTCCGTGAACTGACCATTTTTTCAGAAAAATATAAAACAGTGTTAAACTAGATTGTATTTGTTGTCCTCATCTTACATTAGTTTCACTCTGTGTCCATCTGGATCAACTAGGCTTTGAGTCTGTTCACTGTAAAAGTCTGTGCTGTCCTTACTTTAACCTCCCCTAACAGCATCAATCTGCAGAGACACATCTATGGACTGATTCTGCTCAATGAGCTGTCTGACCAACATCAGTCATTCCCATAGAGACCTGCCACTATTTTACTGTAACATTCATCTCCCTAATGTGAGAATTACACTATTAAGATGATCTGTATATCAACCAGTCTTCATTATAACCATTAATAACTCCACAGCTGCTCTCACAGTCTCCTCACATTCTCACCTTTTGTAACTTTCTAATATCAGATCCTCCCTCATCTGCATCTCTCCCTCTATGTCTCTCTCTCTCCCCCTTTCCTGGACATCTTTCTGTCCAAAGCAAATGGCGCACTATACTCTCGCTCTTGAAAGAGTCACACAGGAAGGAGAGAAATGACAGCACACACGTCAATCAGCTGGAAGTGTGCAGTCCTTTATTTCTTTACTGCTCTCTCAATCATGTTTTAATCTTGAATATTTAGAGCTGAAACTCAACCTCTCTCTCTCTCTCTCTCTCCTGAGAAAGAGGAAAAGAATTAAATCTAATACTTAGAAATTTGATAAGATGGCAGGCTTTGAGCTTCACCGTCAGTGGAGGAATCAGCAGAGAGCAGGCTGAAGATTTGAAGGCAAATAAACAAGTTTCTATGTTTTAATTTGCTTTTCTTCCTCCCTTTGGGTCCGCCTCTGTCTCCGAAACTCGTCTTTAATTTGCTTCTCTTCCTTTTCTGTCCTCAAATTCTGAATCTCACCAGCTCTTATGCTCTTTCATTGTCTGTCTTTGCACTTTTGTTTCAATTAGATACTCATTGTATAATCCATCATATGTACATTTTTGTATGTAGTGTCTAGTTTGTGTTTTAAAACCATTGTCTTTGTTGTAGCCACCACAAGCCTCCTTGCACACACACAAATTCTGGGCCAGCTGCCTGACCCAGTCACAGTCTACTGTGAAAGTATGTTAACTTTATTGCTGTATGTATATTTTGTGTGTAGTTGTCTATCTCCTTGACCCCAATCTTGACAATCTTGTCCCCATTCCTGTAAATACAATCCTCCATCTACCCCAAGCTGAACTAATGACTGATGTTCATACAATGTAGCAGCTGCAATGTGGGAAAATGTCCCACAGTGAAAGAGAAAGTCAGCAGGGACAGAAGTTGATTTTGTTTCCATAGGACCAAAAGCAAAAATCAGTCCACCTAATGTGAGTCTACTTTTCTCTGTTTGGAAACATACCGTTCTAGATGAACCAATTAAAAGTGTAAAGCAGTCAGTCTAACTGTTAAAGTGAGGAAACAAAATCAACATTTTCTTTATCATTTGGTTGGTTTATTCATTGAACCAGGACACCTCAAAGTCAGATAATTCTATGTCAGCATCATGGAGATCCAGAGGCTTAATTTTGGAATAATTATGTAATATTCATTTAGTTAGTTCAGTTTTTACCTTATCTTGTTAATGTATCTCTGTGATGTGAGATGCAAAATCTACAAAAACCCTTATATAATACCCTTAATAATATTTACTTTGGATGCTAGGGGTGGGAATCACAAGAGGCCCCACGATTCAAAACTATTGCAATACTTAATGTTTTGTAATATAGTGAGTCTCGCAATACTCCTTTTTGTTTTTTGTTGTACCAACTATCTCCTGCTCTATGATGTTACCTCTGCCAACCTCACTGGACAAACAGTTGATATTCTTTTTCCATTTTCATTCATTTGACTTCATATTAGCAATTAATTTGAAAAAATCTGAGCGGACAGGACTTGAGACCGTGGTTCAAATAAAAGAAGGCCACAGTCCAGTTTTATGAGCAGTCTGAGAAGTACATGTAGACACCTAATTAATTAAAATACGATAAAAGAGCTCATTTTGTTGAGTGTTGTGTTAATGTGTGTATATACCTAATATGACTAATGAAGATTTAGTTTTTAAAATGTATTCAGTGTCATAACCCTTTTTTTAATGTTAGGAGTTATTATCCCAATAGCTCTTGTATACAACACAGCTGTAAAGTTAGCCAGTATAACATCCCTCAAGCTTTGTCCGCCTGTCCCCCTGTAGCCAGCATGCCTTTGCCTGATTGTTGGCCTGTCATTACAGTAAGCATCCGTTAGGCTAACTTCAAGAAAATGCTTCCAAGCAAATGAGCCACATATATCTATCCTGTTGTACATACGTCACTCTAGATTTTTATAGACAAGTTGCTGATGAGGTAGCCTTCCCATGAACCTGTGAATTCATTGCATTGTGAAAAATAACGTCATTGTACTTCGAAGCAATGTTCGTCATCATTTAGTGAACAAACGAGGGCTTAAGAGGACGACAAGCACTCACACCCTCAATGTTGTATAAAGGTTTCAAGGTCTTTTTTTTTTCATATGATCATTTAGAAAGGCTTTCATAATGGGATCCTTCCTCTCTTTTTTTTAAACTGCCTCTCTGCCTGCATACTAAAGCAGGCCCCCAGCTTTAGTATGCTTTAATACAAACATTAGAGTTGAAATGGGGAGTTTGCAGTCCCACAGCTAACCTAGAGTCAGATGAGGGTGAAAGAAAAGAAAGATGAGGGATGAGATGATGGATGAGAAGGATTTGTGTATTTTCTCTTACCCCACCCTTCTTATCTTACTCCTTCAGACCCTGAACACACATGGAGGAAGTTCCATGGCCAGAGTCACAGGTACTTCAGCCAGAGATACACCTAAAAGGATGCAGAGAAGAACTTTAGGGAGCACAGCAGACACCTGGCCAACATCCACAGCCGGGCTGAACAGAACTTCAGGGATGGGCAGATGTTCAGGAGAGAAATACTGAGTATGGATGATGTAAGCTATGCAAGTTTTGGTGTTTTTGTCTGAACCAATTAAACAGAAGAAATTTTCCAAAAATAACTTTGATTCGTGTTCTGAACTATTTTAAAAGCACCTGTTAATTCTTAAGTAAACAAACTATACCAGCAGCTTCATAAGGCTGTGCTAGGACTGAAAACTTCAAACTTTAAGCAACACAGCAGTAGAAAAATGTAAGCCGTATTTAAAAACTAATTTTATAATGAGAGCAGGCTTACATGTGTTATAATGGACCTTAAATTCATAACCTTACGGACAGGATGGCATCATTGATGGTATAAGAGAGATCCAGACGATATAACTGTCTTTCAAATATTCTGCTGTTCTGTTACGCACTTTTTACTGATTGATGTCTAGTCACCTATATCTCAATCTATATCTTGTCATATTTATATTCATACTTGTAAATGGAAGCACTCATCTTTTGTGTATTTTATAACTGTGATAAATGCTTGCCTTACTCTGCTCTGAAGGCCTCTAAAGAAGTTTATTGTGTTCCCTGCTGAAAACTCCCACAAGCATGGAGCCTGTTCAGCTAAATAAATGTGTATAACCATCTATAACAATAAAGTGTAGTATCTGACTAGATCGTCTTTGACAGGGTATTTAATATCCTGTAACATTTGTCTGGGATGTGATTTGTCCTTAAACTGGTGAATGAACTCCGTATGTGCGCTGTGGAGGAAATGCAAACATTGATAACTGGATTAACTAAAACTACTTCAAGACGAGAAACTGCACTTGATTTTTTTGTAGTTTTCTGTGTGAAAAACTTTTGATGTCAAGCCAAGTACTTTATACATTTTTTACACTACCTTGAATAATCTTGACATAGTGGAGTAGTAAGAAATGAAGCTGAGGTATGGGGTAACTGTATTTGTGCCTCAAAGTAGATTTGCGGCCCTCTAGTTTTACTGCACTTTTTTGCAAAGTTGGGTCGTCCTCCAGGGATCATCATGGATTCAGATATGTAGCCACAGAGAGCAGTTTGTTTGTGCCAGGAATCATTATAATCCTTCTTTCCATACAGTCTTTCTTTGGGGCCTCGTAAAACCCCATCTTCTTTTTTATTCTGGCCCCCAGCAAAGCACCACAGCTGCAGAGAGACACCGTGATACTGGAACGAGCTTCTGACACAGACAAATGCCACAACCTTGACTTCCATCTAGTACCCTTCTTTTATTTTATTTTTTTCATACCCAGCTACCAAAAAATCAAGTTTAATCACCCTAAAAGCAGACAGTCCCACCCATGCAATAAAAACAAAGCTATTAGGAAAATTAATGGGTCATTTATGACTTCAGATTTATTGTGAATGGAGCAGCAACGTCTGCAAGCAGTCAACTCGAGCAGCACTGATTTCACACTTTCAGTGCGTCGTTCTCACTCTGAGGAGTTCAGTTGAGTAACAGACTTAAACTGATACTCATGCCTCTTTATGACCTTTTAATGATAAAGCAAACAAGACTAGTGTTGTGTCGTTCATGAACGATTCATTCAAAAGAACGGAACTGCTGAGTGAAAAGCGGGAGTGGAATCACTCCCAAGACGTTATTCATTTGTTTCTCAGTTCAGTTGAGCTCAGCCGCAAGCGTAGCATGCCAGTTGGTAGTGGAACTGCCGCCTTTGACTCTTTGGCGAATGACACACAGCCAGCCAGCCAGCCAGCGGGTGGGCTGAGTCTTGTGATTTACTCACAGAGAATGAACGACATGTATCAGTCAGACTGTGAACGGAACGTACGACTTCCTAACCACTCAAGGCAGGCAGAGGAGGGAGGGGGGTTACGCTGTTCAAGAGCTGCCGAGCACCAGTTATTTATTTTTAACCTCTAGACTTTTCTGCGATATAAAAGAACAACAACACACGCTGCTTTAGCAGGCATGCTGCTTGCTGCTGTGTTGTTTCACTCGCGTCACAATGCTAATGTCGGCGGCACACAGAGAGGTGAGTTTTTCAGGGCAGGGGAGTGATTCTTCCTTCACAACTTGGCGAGTGAACGACATGTGTCACCCAGAGAACAGTGCTGTGACCTCAGCAGCAGGGGAGGAGCTTGTTCAATGAATGAACTCCCAACCGGCGCCACTGTGTCACTCACTCATGTACTGCACCTGACTGACTGATTCAGTGAACGAATCTTTTGAATGAATCATTTAAATGAACAGATTCTAAAGATTCAGTACAGTCAAAAGAACTGTTTTTCCCATCATTAGACAACACTCCTCTATGTCAGATGAGCTTTTGTCCAAAAAACATGTTGCTTGTTCTCAAACACAAGGTTGGTGTGCCATCAGTGATTTGCATCCAGTGTCAGTAAATCATACATAATCATAAATCCTGTTTTACTGGTTCTGGTTTGTCCTGCAGCACTAAAAAGAAAGTGACTGTGAAGACTGTGAACTGAGAAGACCGCGTGATTACAATCACTCATGAGAAAGGACAGATGTGCCCTGCAACTACAACCTGTCCTACATCTGCAAGAAGGGAACAGGTGAAGAGAGAGAGAGCGGTCTAAATTATTCTGCAGCTTTGGCAAAAGATGACTCACTAAAAGTAAAGGAGCCCAGAGTGAAGGGATGCATTAGAGTAACTGTGCCAAAAAAAAATAAGGAGAAAGTAATACTGGGTAAAGAGAAAAAGTTGTGTTGCTGAGTCTAAATTTAAAAATCATGAGGCAGACTATGAATAAGAGTGACAAAATGTTCTTCAAAGTTTTTATGTAAAACAGCAGGAGTGTGTCAGCCTCATTGTGTTAAAGCACAGAGAGTGACAGCATGAACCCTCAGAGGATTGAAAAATGTTCTTGACGTATCTCTCAGATCACAGTTTGATATCCTCTGCCAAAGTTTTGTATTAGAAGGGGGCAGCGGCAGCCGTATTAAGTCAGAGGAAAGTTAGACTTCAAAAAATCTGATGAGCAAACTTAGCAGGTGGCTTGGGCGTAGGTGGAAATTATAGTGTCGCTGGCCAGACAGAAAACTAGGTGGGCCTGTCTAATGCTCAAATCAACCCTTATGATAAGACATCATGACTGGTTGCCTGAATGCAGATTAGTTTAACAATATAAGTCACATCATATATAATGTTTTAGTAGGGCTGGGCGATAAACCGAAGTTCACTGATACCAAAATTTATTATGACAACCAACGTCATTTTGCCCATATCAATATATTTGGTGTCAAATAAATAAATAAAAGTTGGTTTTGGATGTGTGTAGGTAGGCTGTGGTCTCATGTCCCTTTAAGACACCGTCCTATGTCGGAGACATGACCCCACCCCATCCAGTTAGTAACATAGAGGGAAAGACAGGTGAGGAGATGGAGGACGGTTCAATAGTTGTTGCGGCTAAAGTAGATGAAGTTTATATAGGAGGGGGTGAGCAGCTTGTGGAGTAGTTATCACCCATTTATCATTATCAAGGTGAAGTGCTCAATATATCGTGATATTGGTTTGAGGTCATATCGCCCAGCCCTAAGTTATAGGCACCACCAGGTACATCAACAGCGTTACATAGCCATATGTTCACAAAAAAGACTGACAGTCACAGCAACAGCAGTAGTAAGGGCAGGATAGGGAATCATCAAGAAGTTCCCTGATTGGATGGGCATAAGTGCAATATGAAGGTTTCTCTGTCGTATTCTGCTGCATGTTTTCTGTTGCTTTGCACCACTTTATTTCCCTTATTCTCGTTTTTTGACATAAATTTGCACACAGGTGAGACTCACAATTAATGCAAAGAGGACAGACATATTAAAAGTAACTAACTATAGTTCTGCATGACAGGCTTTCTGAGTGAGTTGTATGTATGGGTACTTACATTATTAGCTTATTATGTATTATGGGTCACGTCTTGCAGAACAGAACAAAAGAAGGGACATGTTTATTGGGAAATGTTTTCCAGCAGTTTTGCCAAACATCATCCATCAAATTGAATAAAATATGGGCTGAGGAAATTCTAATAATGTCAGTTTTGGCCCACATTCAGTGTTTATTTTATTAGCTGCCTGCCATCAACAGTATGGTGCTAAATTATATTAAAAGTATTTCTCTGAGGCATATCGGTGACAGAATTTCTTCCATTTAAGGTTTTGAAATTTTTGTTTTGTCGATCATGTTGTGCTAATCATATATTTCCAATTTTTTTTGTTTTGTTTTGGTTTTTTTTCTTTCATTTGTTAAATACCAGGAGTTAACTTTTAGGATGACCAGGGTAATATGAGCTTCTGCAACATGAGGAGAAAATGTAAGGATTCGTTTGAACCTCAGACAATTATTGTTTTGGCAGAAAGTTTGTCATTTAAAATCACTCGTGCATCAAACACACACAGATACAAAAATCTCCTCAAACAGCTATCCTGGTCTTTAATGAAACCAGCAGTATTTCCTTTATAAGCTCAGCATTGCACCACCTTTGATGAACACAAGTCCCCGGTATCCCGCGCTCCTCTGACCATAATCAGTCAGTTGCAATCACAACATCTTTTCATCTTCTCTTCTCCTTCCTGCCATCTTCTTCTTTTACTCTGAGTAACCTCATGCAATGTCCTGTCTTATCAGGGGAGTTTGTCAGCTCCATGCTGTGTGTCCTCCTCCTGTTCTGTAAAGTTCACAGTTCACAAGATCTGTTCGTCTACTTATCAGTGACCCTTTCATCACCTTCATCATTCAAGTGACTAGTCTGAGGGATGTCATGCAGATGATCACTGATGCAAGAGAAGGAGAGCCAGCTATTATTTGAAAAGTCCTAACAATCTTGTAAAACCCTTTACAGGCCCTTTCAGAAAGACTTAGGAAAAAGGACTAAAGCTCTGTTGCAAATTCTTTCACCAATATATCTATCTATATATATATATATATATATATATATATATATATATATATATATATACAAAGAGTATTAAAGTAACTTTAGCCCCTTTTTTTATCAATGAGTGATAATATAGCCATCAATTCAACTCTCAGATCATTATTCTGAAGAAGAATACAGAAAAAAATCGTGGTTTCTTAATATAAATAGTTGCGAAGATGAAGTGTTTGCATTTTGGTTGATGTGAGTCACTTGGTCTTCTGGCTCTGAGCTCTCTTCATGACATGTATTATGAAATGATTCCATTATTTTGAAGGGTTATTATGCACAGAGACAGGAAATCAAATTTTGCCTGACATAGTCAGTGTGCTATCACAGTGCTTGGGGAAATGATAGTCTGTTGTCAGTGCCTGGAGCAGTTGACGTTTCCATTGTGTACTATAGCCTGATAAACATCTTTAAGGGGTAAAATCTCATAGCTGAAATGTATTTCAGAGGCCAGAAAACTACATTTTCTTCTACCTGCTATTAACTGTTATTAACTGTGCCCGTTGAAGATATAGTGGGAGCCCAATCCTGTCAATTTTTACTGTTTTTGTGCAGGACTGTTTCTTATTATTTATAGGCATTGCTACCACAGAACCTTACACATGCTACACATGGATGTGTGTGTTTAGGGACAAAGGGAAGTCAAAGAGAGGCAGAGGTCTATGACCCAGCAGACTTTCAAGTAGCTTCTGTCTATCTGAACCATACCCCATATATAAATCCTGTTAGACTGGAGCAACAATTTAAAACCACATAACAGAATTCAGTGTTCAAATATTTTGACATTGGCTCATTCATTTCTTGGTATTAACCATGCATAAGGGCTTTGATAAGACCCATGAAATCCCAGATCCTGATTTGACCTGCCTCCACTTTAACTTTCATTACAGTGTGCGGAGGTGAGAGCTGATGTAAAACTTTGAGCCATG